TGTCTCTGGTGCTGGCTCCCGGCGGGCTCCATCAGAGAAAATATCTTTATCAATATATTCTTTTAACTGCATTTCTTCTTCAGGGCCTTCATCTCTTTGCTGAGATGCATCTACAATTGCAGACTCATCTTCATGCGCTGCCCCTGCATGTGTGGAGGGCAACGCAGACATGCTAGTAGTTGTCATTGTTGCAGCTGCTGCTGCTGCTGCTGCTGCAGGAGCAACAGCAGCTGCAGGAGAGGCAGCAAAAAGAAGGGCAGACGGAGGATTTGCTGCTGCAGAGGTATTAAGAAGCAAGATTTGTTGCTGCAGCAGCTGCACAAGCAGCAACAGCTGCAGAACCCACAGAAACAACAGCTGCAGATGCAGCAACAGATGCAGCAGCAACAGCTGTACCAGCAAAAGCTGTAGCAGCAACAGATGCAGCAGCGCAGCTACAACAACAACAGAGCAGCAGCAGCAGCAGCAGCGACTGCGTACAGCTGCAGACGGAAAGCTGCAAAAATATTGCGAGAAGACCCTCAAACGAAGCTTCAATGGCAAGCAAAAAGCTTGTTTATATTAAATAAACTTAAAAAAAGAAGAAGGAAGAGGAGGGGTGTTACTGGGATCGACTGGTTAGCCGATCCCCCCGTCGTCGTAGCTGTTCTTCGGGTGTATATGCAGCTCTTGTGGGGTATTCTTGAAGCTGAACAAATGAATAAGGCAAATAATACAATAAATTGATTCTTTTCATCCAATGTAATTATATTTAAAGCAATTATCAATAAACAATAAATTCTTCCTCTCTATACAAGCAAAAACTCATGGGTCGAGGGGGCTGTACGTGGTTTCGTTGTTGATATTTTTACTCAGTAGAGATTTCAGGTGTATGCGCAGCTGAAGATAGGGAATTGAAATTATATTTCTCTTTTATTATATTGAATAATGACACATTTAGTTGTTTTAATGTTTTAAAGCAAAGAAAAACGAAGAAATTGTGTTTATTTTATGCATTTAACCAGGCATTGCATTCATCTCCATTCATGTAGACCAAAGGATTCAGGTGTATAGGCAGATTCAATATTTTCTTTTTTTCTTTGAATTTGTTTTGATTTGATTTTACTTTATTTATTGATTTATATCTTTTAATTTCTATTATTCCTCGTCAAACAAGAATAGAAGGGAAGAACTCATCCAGAAAAAATCAGCGCTCTAAACTTTTTTCTTACAAAACTCTAATTAATGATAGATTATATGTAATGCTAATAATTTATAACAACAATGATAATAATAATTATTCATAATAATAATAATAATACTAAAAATAGTAGTAATTCATTGTAATAACTCATATTAGTATTAATACTTCATAATAATATAATAATAATAATAATAATTAGTAGTAATAAATAACAGGGATGATAATAAAAAGCAGTAGCAATATTTTTCGCTCTTGTCGCTTACTTTATATTTATTTTTTTTATTTTTATTTAAATTTTAAAGACAATTAAAACCTCCGAAAAGAAGAAAGCCAACAGATCCAATGCATACAAGAGCCCTTCTGTTTCTGCTGCATGAATATTATATATATATATATATATATATACATATTTATATACATATGTATATAGATATGTATATATATCTATCTATACGTACATATATATATGTACATATATATATATATATATCCGAGGTATCTTTCGGCTGGCTGGTAGTTTAATCTCCAAACCCTAAACCCTAAACCCTAAACCCTTGTAGGGGTATACTGCAAACGGCAGTTATCAAAATTATAACTCCTAAGAAATATCTTTTCTTCAGAGCGGTCATACAAAACAAACGCCAAACAAACGTTACCCAGCAGCAGCAGCAGCAGCAGCAGCAGCAGCAGCAGCAGCAGCAGCAGCAGGGGGCCTCCTGGAGATAACTCTCAGGCGCAGCAGCGCGCGACGGGTGCATCTGCTGCTGGGTTGAGCAGCA